GCCTCATCACCGCATCCTCGACTCGGCGCGCTGCTCGGCGTCGCCCCGATGATTAAGGGGAGCGTCCCCCTGGGTGGTGGTGGCGGGGGGAGCCGGGAGGGAGAGCAGGGAGGGAGAGCTCGACAGGTAGAGGGGGAGCCGTGCTCATGACAAGTGTGCATCATTATTGCTGCCGAAGCGAGGGGGTGACAGGAGAGGGAGAGAGAGGGGGGTTGGCGGGGGGTCTCGCAACGCCTCGCGCCTTGCCAGCGGGGAGTGCAAAATGAAGCACGGCATCGACGCGTCATCGCCGTCTGATAAAAACGCAGAATAAAATGTAAGTATGCTAGGTATGAAGAACAAGAAGGAGGTAGTCCTGAGAAGTTGGCGTGACGTAGCGCCGTACCATGCAGAAGATGAGCGAGAGGTTAGGTTAGGATGCGAGTCGTTAGATTTCAAACAGTTTAGTACGGGCCTATGCATCTAGCACCTTAGTACCACCTTTACCAAGGTTTATTACGACAATTGAGTCATTATCATTGGGTTGAAATAATTCCAATGTAAAATGCAATATGTCCGTTCACTAACCTAAACAACAACACCGCGACAGTTTAGAAAATTTGTGTACTTACTTTTCCGAAGTCAAGCCCGAAGCACTTTTTGACACAAGACTGCAGCACCGATGTCATGCGGACTTAATTTTTCTTTACAAATTATTACAAAACTTGATTTATGATCACACACCCACTCGCGACAAAACACAGTATGGTCGTTGGCGTTCTGCTACGCCACGCCACCTCCTCAGTGTTATACCTGCTTCCTGTTCCTCAGCTTCCTCATACTCCCTCCAGCAGCCGCTGGGGCTGCAGCAGCAGTGTATCCAGCCGCATGTGTTTGTGCCACTTCACACCCCCGCCCCGCGGCGCCCACCCCAGCAAACTGTATAACATCCAGAGGCGGTCAGACATGCAGTGAGCGGAACACCCGCCCCGCCACGCCACGCCCGGACTGCTGCGGCTGGCCGTTTGAGATGCTCAGAGGGAATGCAGCGCGGAATGTGTTTGTTAGGGCGCTGCTGGGCCGGCAGCATCCGCCAGCGAGCTACGTGGGGCGCTGGGGCGGGGCGAGGGGGAACATGGTTATTCGCCGAGAACAGGGACGGATCATTCTTCCGATACACGACTAGATTAGTGGCTCGGCGGGTGATATCTCTCTTTCTGTGGCGCCTCGGA